TCTTTGACATTATCATCGGTAATTATCCCAAGTAGAAAAATATATAAGAAATTTATAAAGCTTCCGTACTATTGTGATTCGTGATTTTATATTTCATCATTCCCCATGACAATAAAAATATACCCCACAACGACAAATAACGAAATTTAAACATTTTTCTTTGTAAATCATTTATATAATATATCATTACCTACAAGATTTTCAATATATAATAATGCTCATATATGAAATGAGATAGGTTTCACATAATTTTACAATTTACTCGATAAATTTTTAATACAAGCTAATATAAGGTCATACTGATTGGTAAGAAAAAAATATCAACTATAAAATATCGTTGCTAATACATTATTTTGCCTCGCGCAACAATTATTAAAGTTTAAAGATAAAAAAAAAATTCGTATGGCTCAAAAGATTTCATAGTAATTATGCCATACAAACACCATGACTATAAAAGTGATATACAGTATGTAGTTAGTGAAGAAAAGGGTAATACGTTATGTAGGTTAGTTAGACAAAAAATATTCTATGAGCAACGCTAATAGCCATAAACGTAACGTATACTTTACGATAATATAAACTAACAAAATGCATGCAAGCAAAATTTATAAAATATATTTAATTTCATTGAAGTCGAACAGCCGTTCGGAGAGTATTGGATGGCTATTTTTAATTGAAAAAAGATTGTTTTATTGTTATTAAGTAAATGTTATACTTAAAAGAGTAAAACAATCACAAATACGTTTGCTTATGTAATATTTATTTGCTATTACATATTTTAGATAAAGATATTATCAAAATCATACATAGAGAGAAAATAGGTAAGTTAAATAAAATAATTAAAAATAAAGAAATGCCTAAAAAATTTTTTTTATATTTACTCAATCTTCCCTCAAACATCTTTTAAACATTTACAATGTTTTACGATTATTTGACTCTGTTGAGAAAGTTTCGAACTGAAAAAAAAAGGGATTAATAATTTTGAAAATGTTTTTGTTCGTTATGCCAACTACTTATACAATCGTTTATTATGTAAATTCAAATTAAATAATTATAATGTTGAACTGTGCCTTGTTTTCGACAAAGGCAGTTAATAATCGATTTTACGACTATCTGGTCCCATTAAGCTATAATGATTTTAATGATTCGTACACCGAATAAGATAACTTTGCCTCCTTAATTTCCATCCAAAGTTCATTCATCGAAGGCTAAATAAAACATTATCGTCATCCTTTGACGAAGCCTTCAAAAGTACACTCTTCACTTCTGTCCCACATTCGTTCGCGCTCGAACAGGTGCGCGCGCACGTGCACAGGCGCACACAGTAACAGCAGACTAGAACTACTTCCGGATTTTCTAGGAAGTGCTTTATCCAATGCGACCAACGGACTGAGATGAGAAGGAGATCAAACGAACCGCGGGACGCACGCATTTAAGTAGTTTTGTTCGTTCGAGGCGTTGTTGATATCTAACGTACAGGGCTCGAAACATTATATTCCTCAACAATAAACTCCATTCCACCGTGTGATTTATTCCTACTTTTGCGTGCTTTTGCATGTCCAATTGCAGCGCCCCCAACTTCCCTATGACGTTTCGCCCTGACATAAAAAATTGGTCCTAAGAATCCTCTCGATTCACGTAAGAAACTAAATACGAGTTTCTATTATCATTGGGGAAAATGTTGACTCTTAGAGTCCCTTTTTCGCTGCTCTACGAAGAGATTAGATACACCTTTTAATCATAGAAATGAAATTAATTATTTTTCACACTGATATATGCTTAGAACTCACATAACTCTTAAATTATACTCCCTCCCAGCCCCCATTTTTTTTTTTTTTTTTTTTTTTTTTTTTTTTTTTCTTTAACG